GGGTCCCTGCGTCCCCTGCTCCTGCCCTCACGCTGTCCTGCTTGCCTTGCAGGGGTCTGCGGAGTTGCTGTGGGCTACCCCCTGGACACGGTGAAGGTGTGGTGGCCGCCCCGGTCTCCTGCACTCCACCCACGACCTTTTTCTAGCAGGCTAATCAGAGCCAGGGCCCCCGGGGGGCTGGGGACCCCTTAGTGCCTGCCCCTCAGCCCTCCCAACCTAGGTGGGGCGCGTGTCCCTGCTGGGCCTACAGATCAGCGTGGCTGTAAAGGGGCTGGTTTACTCCCCCACCCCCACCTGTGGACGGTGCCCTGCACCTGGGGCACCCCTTCCTGAAGGCCACTTCTTCTGCAGGTCAGGATCCAGACGGAGCCCAAGTTCACGGGCATCTGGCACTGCATCCGGGACACGTATTACCGAGAGCGGGTAGGTCTGGGCCGTTCGCTGGCAGGGGACGTCCGTGCCTCTGATCTCAGGTCGGCCATGACCAGGCCACACTGACCCCTGGCCCAGCCGCATCCTCACACCTTCTGTGTGTGAATCATCGGCCACTCTGCTAATTCCTGTGTGCTCTGGAGCTGGGCCTTCGGGCACACTGGGCTCGCCCAGCCCAGGAGAGGACCCCTGGAGGTCAGGAAGCATCTGTGCGTTTGCATCTGCCCGGCCAGGCTGGGCGCCCACAGAGGCGGTGCCAGTGGCTGGTCAGGGTCCCCAGGTCCAGCTCAGAGATGCGTGGGGACGGGGGCTTGGTCATGCTCCAAAGGGAGCTTGGGGCCCAGAGCCCCGGAGACAGACCAAACAGCAGCGGGGTCCCCCAGCGGCCCTCCCTGCGCGGCCGAGCCGCATCCGCGGGGCCCTCCTCCCGGCCCGGCCTGACTGCCCTCTCCGGCCTCCCGCCAGCTGTGGGGCTTCTACCGCGGCCTCTCGCTGCCCGCCTGCACCGTGCCGCTGGTCTCGTCCGTGTCCTTCGGCACCTACCGCCACTGCCTGGCGCGCATATGCCGCTTCCGCTACGGCAGGGCCGA